AGTTCAGGGATGCTCTGGCAGCTGTGGTAAGTGCAGTCGCTGGGCAGGGGGTGAGTCTCTGCGAGGGCAGCTGGACTGTGGTTGGTCGGGCACCACGCTCTGGCTCCCCGAGAGCCTGGTGGCGGGGGAGTCCCCAAGAGCCCGCTGCTGGCACATAAGCCCTGCCGGGAGCCCCGCTCCTGGTGCCTGTCCCGAGCACTGTACCCTCTCCCTGCCCCTTGGCTGTCACAGCTGCAATGTGGGTCTTCCGGCAATTGTGCCATGTTTCTTGGTGTTGAAAGCACTGTAGGGTGCGGGGGGAGTAGGGGCTTAGTTTAAAATAGCAAGTCCAAGTGGTGAGGGGAAGCAGCGAGGTTGGGCTTGAGCGGAGAGGAGAGAGGGAGGCAGGTGGGACACAGAGCAACATGCCATTCTGCAGGAAAAATTGTTTTTTTTTTTTTAACATCTAGAGAGTTTGTGCATCTGTCTGGGTATGTCTACACTGCCATCCTAGTTCGAACTAGGATGGCTAATGTAGTCATTCAAACTTGCAAATGAAGCCTGGGATTAAAATATCCCGGGCTTTATTTGCATGTTCCCGGGCGCCGCCATTTTTAAATGCCCGGTAGTTTGAACTCCCCTGCAAGGAGGAGTAACGGTAGCTCAAACTAGGGGCTTTAGTTCGAACTACCTAGCCCATGCCGCGTGTAGCCACGGGCAGGGAGTCCGAACTACGGGGCATTTAAAAATGGCGGCGCCCGGGAACATGCAAATAAAGCCCGGGATATTTTAATCCCGGGTTTCATTTGCAAGTTCAAATGACTACATTAGCCACCCTAATTCGAACTAGGGTGGCAGTGTAAACATACCCTTTGTGTCCCCATCCGTCTGCCTGTGAGTGAGTTTGTTCATTCAAGAACTCCTTCTAAACGGTAAGAGATAGGACCACCGAATTCGGTAGGCAGCTTCCTCTGATAGAACATAAATCAAGGTCAGGGTTTGGTTGTGCTAGGATAATGGGGTGTGCGTGGAATGGGATTGGTTCTCATCAAACGGAAAAGGAGGGCTGTGATAGCATGATCACCGGGAGGCAGCAAGCACAGGGGATGGTTATACCCCAGAATGACCAAAGGAGGCTGCAAGTGCCCAAGACCTGGGGAGCAGCTGCTGACCGGGGAGGAGCTGCTGGCTAGGCAGTAGGGCCTCTGCCACCCTGGACTGGCCCGGGGACTTCTCCAGCCCTACCTCCTATACCCCCCCACAAGTCTCCTGCCCTAAGTCCCCCACATACCCAAGCCCCTGCCCTGACTCCTGCACCCCTCATGCCCTGAACCCCCTTCCCCGAAGGACCTGAGCAACTATAAAATAGTGGGCTGTTGTAATAACTGAGGGCGAGCAGGCCTATTGTAACTGTGAGCCTAGCCAATGGAAAGCAGATAAAGATTAATGAATTATTACAGTGACCTATTCTATAAAACTGTTTAAGAAAAGATTTAGCCCGAATTAATTTAAAGGGAGGGGGGAAGGAGGGGAAGGCTTCCTGCATTTAGATGAAGACTGGTAAACAAGAAGAGCAGGGGACCAGAAATTAATGGGCCAAAATTGGTGCTTTGGAAACAAGGCCTAATTGGTGGGCGAAATAATGAGGCTGGACCATTCCACTCGTTACGCTTCTAGAGGCACTAAACTGAGGCTTGGGGGGAAAGGGAGCTGCTACAGCCGTCACGGCTGCGATGTAGGGCTTTTATCTCAGTACTCCACTGCAGATGCTTGGTCCTCATCACTGCCCCAGTGAGGGGCTCAGGCCAGTGAGATCTTGTTCTGTCTCCTCTTCTTTCTGTCCCCTACTATATGTACTCCTGTCTCTGCCTCCCTCTCTCTCAGCTTTTTACCTGCTCCTGAAGTCAACTGCATTCCACTGCACTCTGTCATAAGGTGGTCCATTCTGCCCTGCAGGGCCTGATGTGGACCAAGCGAAGGGCTTCACTAGATGAATGCAATGATGTGAGGGAAGAAGATAACAGCTCTCATGGCGGACCTGCTTTCCTAAACATTCGTTCCTGACAGACCCACTGCCCTATACCTGAAAAGCTCCTCCAAAAGCCATATTTCCCTCCTCTTGCCCTTCTCCCTCATCCATGTTGGTATCACTCCTAACTCAGAGCTAAACGCCAGACAGAATCCTTTCTTCTCCACCAAGGACGGCTTGACAGGATAAAAGTCTTTAACATGAATTCAGAAGGGGTTTTGATTAAAGTTAGTTTTGCGTGATCACTCAATCGCAGACCCAGCGCTTTCTGCTGCCTTTTTTTTTATTCTTTTCCTTTTGTTATGTTTCAGTCAATATGTATCTAACCTTTGGCCTGAATTTCCTAGCATGTTAGCGGGCTCAGTATATGAAGCCCTGATGGTTGATTAATGCAGGACAGGTCCGGTAAAAAAAAACTAAAAAAAAAAATTTGGCTCCCTTTTTTTTTTTTTTTTTTTTTTTTTCTCTTTCTCTTTCTCCCCTCAACCAATTTTTTCTCCTGCCATGTTCGGGATTTTTTTGTGAAGGTATCTGGCAACCCTAGTGACACAGTTTTTGTAAAGGTATCTGGCAACCCTAGTGACACACAGGGTTCCATTAAAATCTTTAACTCTTCAGACCCATATATTTCATCTAAATTAACTATAAGACTCACCACTAGCTCGCCCCATCGAGGCTGCTGCCGGTGATCACTGAGCATTGCAGCAGGCTGCTGTTAGTGCTTCATACGGGCCATGCCTTAATGCCATCCCTTCCAGGATAACAAACTCCATTGTCCTCACACTGGTCCTCAGCCCAAACTCTCAGCCCTGTGGTCCTACCAGCCTTTGCTCAAGGCTGAAAGGCTTATCTCCTTTTATCGGTGGACTTCCTGGTGGTGGGTTGGTGATCACTGAGCATTGCAGCAGGCTGCTGTTAGTGCTTCATACGGGCCATGCCTTAATGCCATCCCTTCCAGGATAACAAACTCCATTGTCCTCACACTGGTCCTCAGCCCAAACTCTCAGCCCTGTGGTCCTACCAGCCTTTGCTCAAGGCTGAAAGGCTTATCTCCTTTTATCGGTGGACTTCCTGGTGGTGGGTTGGGAACCCAGCATCTGCATTATCCCTTCGTCGCCGTTTCCTCCTGCTCTCTGCTTCGTGCTTTCCATCATGTTGCCCTCTAGGCTGGGAGACTCCTCTTCCAGGCACCTGAGCTCTTCTTTAAACCCCTCTTATCCGGCAACGTGCCTCTTCTTCGCCCCCAATAATCCCCCTCACCCAACGTTTCCTCTGGGACAAAGTGTCGAAAGGGAGTGAGGCTCTCACCTGCGGTCAGGGCCCTGTTACTCCCCTTTGGGATGAGGCCTGTTAACGTCAGTGGGAATGAAGGATTCAAGCTGCTCTGCGCATTAGGCAGGCCGAATTCTGTGTCACCATGGGAACCGTTTAATTTCCCCCCTCCCCCCCACCCCCTGGGCCCATGCAGTGTGCAGGGAGGAGGACAGGGTCCTCAGGGTGACACAATGGAACCCCTGGCCTTGGGGGGCATGGGGCGGGTGATTTGCTGAGGCCTCCACATGCAGTGTTTATATGGGGAGTGGGGGGTCTCTTCCCCAGTGTGTGTTGGGGGGAGGGGCATCTCAGCATGTCTGGGAGCCTTTCCCTCCCTCTCTGAAGTGTGTGGTAGAGGGGGGAGCAGGGACCTCTCCCATCCACAGTGTGTGTGTGGGGGGGGAGGGGGTCAGGGGCCTCTCACTAAGGATGTTAAAAGGCAGGTAATTGACTGATCATTTAGTCGATAAGGGAAGGCTTGCTCAGTCCCAGCTTGTGCTAGAGAGAGGCAGCAAGGCGAGGGTGGGGAAGCGCGTAATCCAGCAGTCGGCTTGACTAACCGAGAAGCCTTGGCTTATTGCTTACATCGGGGGGCGGGGGCCTCTCCCTCCTTCCCCCAGTGTGTGTCGGGGAGGCAGGGGCCTCTCCCTCCTTCCCCCAGTGTGTGTCGGGGAGGCAGGGGCCTCTCCCTCCTTCCCCCAGTGTGTGTCGGGGAGGCAGGGGCCTCTCCCTCCTTCCCCCAGTGTGTGTCGGGGAGGCAGGGGCCTCTCCCTCCTTCCCCCAGTGTGTGTCGGGGAGGCAGGGGCCTCTCCCTCCTTCCCCCAGTGTGTGTCGGGGAGGCAGGGGCCTCTCCCTCCTTCCCCCAGTGTTTGTCTGAGGGCCCCTCTCCCTCCCACCACCGTAGTGTGTCTGAGAAGACAGGAACCTCTCCTTCTCCCCTCCCCCGTGTGTGTCTGACCAGGTGGGGGGTCTCTCCCTCCCCGCACCCCACTACGTGGGTGAGGGGGTAAGAGCAGGGACCTCACTCCTCAAAGGATTATTCCCTGTGGGGGTGAAATGAAGCTTTCCTCCCCAGTGGCTGTGCTAACACCTCCTGGCCTGGGGCTGCTGGTCTCAAGTTGATGCCACCACCCACGGTCACCAGCCTCGCCTGACTGCTGGGGACTGAGGGGCAGGGCTGAGGTGTGGGGGAGAAAGGAGGACAATTGTACCAGGGCCCCAAGCCTAGGGCTCCCCCTCCCCAAAACACCTGTAATATCTATGGAAATGCAATGAAATGGAGGAGGGCGGGGCCCCAGCAGACACAGTGTACGAGAGCCTTCGTATTTTGGTCAACAGACCTGCTATGGGGAATGACTGGCAAACCGACACCCCTGCTGGGGAGAGAAGGGTGGGGTGAGACTGTTGAGCATCAAACACCGAGCTCCGTCATGTTAAGAAGCTAGATTTCTAAGGGAGACCATTGGATATCCTGGATCCCAGTCATGTTATGCAGAGGCCTGGGAGCGTAGAATATGTGGATGTGGTTATTTGGTCCCTAGCAGGGCTGGACAAAGGGTGTTTGCATGGCCACGGGCAAGATCGTTACGTCCCTGACAGGGCTGGCCTTGAGTGGGAGGTGGCTTGGCCCGTGCTGGGCTAGGCCTTGAGAGAAAATTGGGCATAAGGTAGAATTTTGTGTGGAGGATATGGCGAAAGCCTTGAGTCTAATCCCTCTCCCTTGTTTTCTGTCTTTGCTTTTCCTTCAGGCTGCAAGATCAAGGCTCTGAGAGCAAAGACCAACACCTACATCAAAACTCCGGTGCGCGGTGAGGAGCCGGTCTTCATGGTGACGGGGCGGCGGGAGGACGTTGCCATGGCGAGGCGGGAAATCATCTCGGCGGCTGAGCACTTCTCTATGATCCGGGCCTCCCGCAACAAGGCTGGCACCACCTTTGGCAGTGCCCCTACCCTGCCTGGCCAGGTCACTATCCGGGTCCGCGTACCCTACCGTGTAGTGGGCTTGGTAGTGGGTCCCAAAGGAGCCACCATCAAGCGGATCCAGCAGCAAACCAATACCTACATTATCACACCCAGCCGGGACCGGGACCCCGTCTTCGAGATCACAGGGGCACCAGGCAACGTCGAGCGGGCCCGAGAGGAGATAGAGACCCACATTGCGGTGAGGACAGGCAAGATCCTGGAGTACAACAATGAGAATGACTTCCTGTCCAGCAGCCCCGACTCAGGCATGGAGAACCGCTACTCGGAGGCGTGGCGGGTGCACACACCTGCCCCAGGTTGCAAACCCCTCTCCACTTTCCGACAGAACAGCCTCGGGTGCATTGGCGACTGCTCTGTGGACCCAGTCTACGAGACACCCCGACTGAACGACCAAAATGACTTCAATTACGGTTACCTCTTTCCCAACTATGGGGTGAACAAACAAGATCTCTATTACGGGGTGCCAGAATCCGGTGCCCCTATGTGGGCTGGGCAGGAAAACACCAACCCTGTCTCTGTGCTCTTCTCTAAGCAGCAACGATCTGGTAGTACCGGCGCTGTCCATCCTAACTCTCATCGCTCCCCGTCCTCTTCGATCCAAGAGCCTAACCTCTCGGGGCTCCCCAGAAGGTCTCCAGGGGAACCACTGCAAGGATTTTCCAAACTGGGAGCCAACACCACCGCCCGGACATCCATTTCCAGCAGCCGGGAGTGCATGGTGTGCTTTGAAAGTGAAGTGACGGCAGCTCTGGTGCCATGTGGCCATGACCTCTTGAGTGTGCTGTGCGGCTCTGCGAGAGGACTGACCCGGAATGTCCTGTTTGCCATGCTGCAGCCACTCAGGCTATTAGAATATTTTCTTAAAGAGACAGGGCGGGGCGGCGGGGACTCCAATAAAAAGAGGATGATAATAATAATAATGACATCAGAAGAATAAATGAACGAATGAAAGAATAAGATAATTAATTTAAAGAAGAGGAAAAAAAATTATTTTACGAGCAATGTACGTTATTTTTTAAAAAAAAGAAGTGAATAATAATAAATTAAAATGAATAGAAAAGCCAGAAATTTTGAAGGGCAAATGATGCTCCAGCCTACGATGTCTTTTTAAAACAAGTACTCTGAACGCACACTTGGATCTCGCAAGCAAAGCGGTTTAGTTAAATTTTTTTTGGTGGCGAGACAGGACTCACAGCTCCTCTGCATTGACCAAGCTTGGTCATTTTTATGTGACCAGAGCCCAGAGGGCACATGGGAAGTGAGGGGCTTCCTCAACAGCTGTTCCTTCCCCACTCGACACTCCATCTTTTAACTTGGTCTGAAGCTGCCCCCTGGGGACATCAAATCAACCAGCAGAGGAGAGCTTGGAAAGAAAAGAAAACAGATGGCAAAGGGGGGGAAGGAAAGAAAGAAAGAAAGAAAAAAAAAAAAAACCATCAACCTCTGGGAACCTGTTAGAACGAGGGCACAACTCTATTACCTCAAAGATTTAAAAAAAAATACAAACAAATAAAAAACAAAACAGCAGCTAAAGAACTTTTATTATTTTCCTTTTTTTTAAAAAAAAAAAAAAGAACATTGAAAAAACAAATAAAAATTACGCCGGTGAAACTGAAGAAGGTTTGGAAGAACCTGTAGGAGTCACACTGGGTGCTTAGCATTTATTTTGTTATTCTGAGCCACCGTGGAGTTTGGAACTACGTTATTTTTTTTGTTTTTGTTTGAATCCAAACAGGGATTTGTTCATCAGATGAATCAGGAGTCACTAACAGGGTATTTCAAAACCAGTCTTGAGTTCCCATCCAAGGGCGAGGATGGACTTCCACATTTCCATAGTTCACTCTTCTTTGCTTTTCCCACGTGATGCCAGCTGCAGTTTTCTACGCATGTGCACGCGTACACCACACAGCATTGTGCTTTTCTTGAAATAAATATACACACACAAGTTAACATTCTTTTTTTTTTTTCTTAAAAAAAGTGTACCGCACCAAAACCTAAGAGAGACGATCATGCAATACAGGCGATGAGCCCTTTTGAAACCAACATGCATCCTGACCGAAAGCAAAAAATCCGAGTTTATATATATAATTTTGTCGTTGTTGTTTTTAAACTGGACCAAAACTTTTGTTACCCAAAACCAAGTGGAAAATTTTAAAAAAAGAAGAAAGTATTTCTTTATGGACCAAAACCTCTTCAACTGTCCTTAACCTAGATCTTCCGGAGGTTGCCACTTTTATATATTATATTTTTTTCAGAACGAAACAAAAAATAAATAAATAAATGAATTGCCTTGTTGAACATCCTTTTAATCATTTGAAGACTCCTGGTTTTGTTAAATCAGATACTTTTTTTAACTGTTGAGAAGTGGGAAAGACAGGCTTCGAATCTGGCCTCGATGCCAATCACAATCCAGCATCTTAACGTGATCAGGTTTGTTCAACCAGTACCTGGATGCCAAATTGCCATGGTGGCAAAATTACGTGTGTTGGATTAATTTACCAAGCACCTCTCTCTCTCCCTCTCTCCCTCTCTCTCTCTCTCTCTCTCTCTCTATATATATATATATATATATTTTCCCCCATACACTCTCTTCCTACCCCCAAATTACTTCTACTCACCAATCCTGGACCCTGCTTTAGAACTGTGGACCAACAAGCTTAGCAACTTGAGAGAGACAAATCTACAGCCAAAAATTCAACAAAAATAGCCAGAGATGTTCCTCAAGTTACTGGAGACCTTAATTTCATCGTAACGTGCTTCCTGGAACTATCCCCTCTTCTTGATTCGTTGCCACTCACCCCTAACGGAGTCCCCTTCCAATTTGTTCAGGACATCCTTTGGTCACATACAGGGGTGGAGTGTAGATACTGAGGCAGGCCTGTGTTTGGACTCAAGACTTGATAAAGGTCCATGTACGATCTTTAGATATTGGGGGGAAGGGCCTGAAATTTTGTACTTTCCAACACTTTGCATTGATGGTGAATTGTTACACAGGGCGGAGGATAGAAGGTGGTAGGAGATTGTGCTCCTAGGTACTGCAGTGGATGCTGATAGAAAAATATTGTACTAAAGGGGACACTGTCGGGTCAAAGTTATAACCCCTTTTCTTCCCACCGCAGCTTTAACAAACCTTAAACAGCCTAATTCTCCATTGCCCTGCACTTTCTGCAGTCATTTACACCCAGGGGAGCTAACAGCCTCCGTGGGTCCCTGAGGCAAGATGGGGGGGCAACGTTGCGCTCCCTGACTGGGTGGGGCCTGGGAGGAAGGGATGAGGCTGGGGCCCTCAGTGCCACCCAGACCATGGCATGCCCCCCTCTCCCTCCAGCTCTCAGGCCCACCCGGAGCATACATCACCTCTGCCTCCCCATGTAGCCCTGAAAGCTGCCTGGACTGTATAAAGTGGCACTCCTGCGGTGATTTAAAGGACTGGAGGTGCTGGCCGCTGCTGCACTAGTAGTGGTGGTGGCCAGGAACCCCGGGCCCCTTTGAATCACTGGGCCCTAGGACCACTGCTCTTTTTGCCCCTCCCATTGGCGGGCCTGTTTACACCAGTGCAAAGAAGGTATCAGACGGCTACCAAATCACAACTATTGCATTATTGACCCCCATGCTCCTGTTGTTGTTTACACCAGTGCTGCAGGACAATGGCAAATTGGGCTAGTAGACTTCCATAGGAGAAAGAGGCTAGGCACCACTCAAATCTTGAGGGCTAAAATGGTGCATGGGCTTCTGGCTATTCCCTCCCAGCTGCTCCAATGGAAACACCGCCTCCGTGAAGACATGAGAATCTGGCCTATTGAGACCCTAGCCTTTTCAACATGGGTCCAATTATTATTTGAAATGTAGATATGTTTCAATCCCAATAGAAGAGAAGGAAAGATAAAACAAATGTTTTCTTTTGGGGAATAATCCCCCTCCCCAATTCTGTTCCTCCAGGATTATGTGTTAACCTTCCCTCTGTGCGTATCTTCCTTCCAGATGTCAAGAGAGTGGTTTGGGGGTGGGGAAGGCGGGTCAGAAATCAGACCATCCTTCCAAAGGGGCATTCTGAAATATCTGTGTTTGGTAAGGGATGGGATTACAACACAACAGCTGGTTCGTCCCTGGCTGAGTCCCATAGGGCCAATATCTTAGTTGAGTGACTAGTCATTATTGGCGGAGTGAAGTCTGTTCATGGTCATGTGAACAAGTTTTTGATCAATGTTTTTCTTTGATGCCAGGTTGTGAAGAGGTTTGGGTGGGGTGGGGTGGGATAGGGTAGACTGGGAAGATACTCAGACTGGGGAGGGAAGGGGGGACGTATTCTAGCACTGACCCTAGGGGATGGTGGGGAGGAAGGTAGGGGAGCTTAGATCTTCTCCCTCTTTTTAACTCCTCCTCCTCTTTATGAAATAAAGTGAGGTAGAAACCTCCTGCATGCTGAACATGTTAGAAACCCTTTTTAAAACAAAGCAAAACCCCTAACCCAAACAACTATTCACACTTGCCGATCGGAACGAGGAGGGAAGTCCTCTGGATGGCCAGTTGGCAGCCTGTCCATTTTTCCATGGACTAGGTGTTCCCAATCCAACTTCCAAGTCGGCCTTTAATGAAATCTTTAGTTCCAATAACCTTTTTATGTATACATACACACATATACATATATATTGAAAGAAAGTTTGATGTAGCAGTTCTAGATTATACTGAATAGCAGTATTGCAACCTGTTTTACTTTGTTCTCCCTCCCTTATTCCCCTTCCCTCCCCATATGTTGATGTAGCAACTTCAGAAGAAAGAACAGCAGGCTGTAGGTGCACCAAGAGCTACCTCTGGTCTGAGAGGGGGCTGTATTTTGTGGGGGAGGCAGATACAAGAGTCCTAAGTCCTCGAACCCCTATAGGGGGGAATGCCCCCCGACCCTGCCTCTTAGCAGCTCACCAGGACCCCAGCGTGCGGATGAGCATAAATTTGCATAACTTTTTTCTTTTTAAATATATGTATATATATATATTAAAAAAAACTTTAAAAAAACCACAAAAAAATAAAAAAAAACCAACCACACAAAAAATGCCCACGACCTTAACTATTTGCTCTGACTTACACCTTCCTGGAGAGGTGATTAGAAATGGCTTGTTGGTCCAATTCACCAGCAATAAGGATAAAAGAAAGAAATGCCCCTACTCCAGCCTAATCTGTCTGTCCTGGGTTTTATTTGCTAACCTACACTCCATGTAAATGTGTATGGGTGTATTTGGGTGAAGGAGAAGGTACTGGGTAACTCCTCTTGCAATGGTTACACCAGTGCAAATGTCTCTAATGTAAAAAAGTCTTTAGTGTCTCCACTTTGCAGTCATGGGAGCAGGGGCGCATTTTATTTGGGGTGCTAAATTTATGGGGATCTCCCCGCGTGGCTGCCCCAAAACATCCCTGGTGGAAAGAGGGCAACGTTGACCTGCAATGGGATCCTGCAAAAGTGACCGGTACCAGGTCTCCTTAGAGTTCTTCCACCCTCCCTCCACCTTGGGATTTAAGAACAAACTGAGTGCTCAGTGGAAGATGGATCAGCCCTCATCCTGCAAACTTGTACACTTTACTATCAATGAGTCAGCCCATTGAAATCCATTAGGCTACTCATAATAGTAAAATGATGCACGTGCCTAAGGATTTGCAGGATCGGGGCCTTAGAAGGGAGGTCTCCATTAGTGGATGCTGCTGCTCTACCTCTTGGCGCTGCTGGACAGGCTGGGAGTGGATTGTAATGTCAGCATCGGGCAATATTAGATTCCAATGGGCTCCTAAGATTAATGGAGCAAGCTGGGGAGTGCAAAGTGGAGGGTCAGGTTATTCTTAGCAGTGACCATATATAACACCAAGGCAAAGTCCTTAATTCCTACTAGTAGCAACAGTAGCATCCATTGGGACTGGAGAGTGCTAGGCCCTTTGTCCACATTCCAGAGGCTCTCAGGACCTGGCAGGATTGGGCTCTTAGGAGTCTGCGTGGATGAGAAATTGGGGACATATCTGGTAGATATGGGGATGTAAGTACATGTGTTGAATGGGAATAGATTTAAGCTTGTGCTTAAAGATAAGCCCACGCTTAAGTGCTTAACTGGGGCATACTCCTTCCTGCGATCTTTACTCACCAAGCGATCTTATACGATTAGTCCCATTGAGTGAGTAAAGATTTTCAGGATTGGGGGGAATCTCTTGGTGTTGTATATGGCACTGTGAGCTTTTGGGACAAATCACCCCTTGATTGTGGACTAGGCCCTTGGAGATGGGTCTGCAACAGGACTTTTAGAGGAGGGGGTTAATTAATAACATTGCTTTGCCTGTAAAAGGAGACACAAATATGCTATGTCTTTGGCCATTATTTTAGAGGTATCGCGGGGAGGGGGGATGACTTGGGGAAGAGGGGTAATAAATATAACAAAGGGGCAGGGAAGGATATAAAATATACTGTGATTTCCTCATAAATTATATAGAGAATAGTATGTATTATAATACACAACATTTAAAAAGAACCAAAATTGGATTTATATTTAATGAGGAGATACTATAAGAATATCTTGTCCTAACTCCCATTTGCAAATGTATTTTTCAGCTGGAGGGATATCTATTCTTTTTTTCTCTTTTCTTTCTTTTTTCTTGCTTTCTTTTTTTTTTAAATCTCCATACATGCAAAGGCTACAACTGTTAACATTAAGAACCTCTTTAATCGAAAACATTCAACTTGCTTATTTGATGTTTGACTTTTTAGTTTGGTTCTTTTACAGGCGTTTTTTAAAAATGAGAGAGGAGGAAAAGTAAGATTTAAAAATTAGAACATTTCTTTATAATTTAATATTCTATTTTAATAAATGCATTTATTACATGTAAATGTAGCAAGGAACTGGGCTAATAAAAATACTTTTTATTAGGTAATTTATTATAAGAAAAAAAGGATATTTTATTTTATGATAAAGTGATCCTTAAAAAGTTTAGGAGGTTTAGAATATATGTAGGTTTAAAAAAAAATACATTTGTATCCAGAGTATTGCTTAAAAAGTGTTTTTAATATATGTTTCTTTTTTGTGTGTGCGTGTGTGTATGTACAAGTTGATAGTTACAGTGAAAATGGCCCTTCCCTGAAATAAAAAAGTAACACACAGTTGTATGTATTAAAAAAATTAGAAAAGCAAAACCACTAAGAATTCAAACTCTTGCTGCCATTTAAATCCACCATCCTACCAGCAGCTCCTCGTGTGTCATTACGTAGGGGAGTAGTCCCATTGCCTGCGGGAGTAAAGTTAACAGTGCGCAGGACTTTGCTTAATCAGTGGCATTTTTCACTATGGCGCCAGTCCAGGAAAGCATCCCTGTTTGGGAAAGCTCTTAAGCATGTGCTTAATTGCCAGTAGACTCAAAGGTTAATCATGTGCTTAAGCCTTTTCCTGTCTGTCATTTCAAGCCCTGATTCAGTAAAGCACTTAAACACCTTAAGTCCCATTGACTTAAGCATGCACTTAAGGGCCTGATCCAAAGCCCATTAATGTCAAGGAGTATCTTTAAGCACATGGCTGAATCGGGGCCTCAGTCAATGGCAAGTTGCTCATTGGGGGAAATCCTGGCCCTGTTGGATTTCTGCCTTTGACTTCTTCAAGACCAGATTTTCACCCTTTGACCTTGACATACTTTGGATCAAGCCCTTGCTGCGGATCAGAAGCTTGACCCTGCGGACTGCGGGGAAGGGGATTTTTTGATCCACTTCACACAGTCTGATCTTGTAGACATATCAGCTCTCTGTCAAGAGTGATTCTGCCGCACTCAGTCGCTTTAGCAAGACGGGGGTCCAAAGAGATATGATCAAGCCGGAAGGATGGAGAAGAGGGCATGCCGAAAAGAGCCCACCCTCTGTCTTTTTTAAATGGATTTCTGGCTACCCTGACCTTGCCCTCTTTTGTCCCCCTAAAAACTAGAGCATAATAGCACCTGGTGCAAAAAAACATAATGATAATGAATCCTCTTAGAGAAAACTATAGACTTTTGGAGGAGAAGGTGGACGTGTTAATTTCCTTGAACCCTTTTAGCCATTAAATTCCCAATCCAGCAAAGCATACATTGAAATCCATCCTTATTCAGGAAAGCACCTAAGCTTTAATCATGTACTCAAGGGCTTTGCATGATCTTGGCTCAAGGACTTGACTTTCAGAAGGGCTGAGCACCCTTGATCCCAGTAGAAGTCAGTGGGAGCCGTGGTTACTCACGTTGGCTCTGAAACTCTAACCTTCATGAGACACACCCTCTTCAAGGCATCCAAAAAGCGGTGGTCAGGGGGTTTCTAATCTGTTGCCTTTTAAAGAAGCATTTAAAATAAGAATTGTTTGTTTTTAACCAAAAAGAGAGAAAAAGTTTGAGTTGATGGGTATAAAATATAATAATAATAATAATAATAATTAATAATAAATAAAACATTTCAAATTTATTTCATATAATCCTATAGAAAAGATTAAAAATAAATAAACTTAACTAGTTCATATAGTAGATGCTATCCAATATTGTTTAATCTATAGTAGAGCGGATGATCCCAGACAGAACAGAATGTAAACTAAACTTGTAAACAAGATCAGTTGTTACTGTTTTAATTCCCCCACAAATTCCATTCCATTTTTTCTCAGTACTATTTTCTGAAACTTAAAAAAAAAAAAAAAAGCGCCTAACAAAAATTCAAACCTCT